CCACAAACCCTAAAACTAACCTAAACTCAATTCACACCTTGGTCCTAAACCCAACCCCACCAATGGTATTTAAACCAAATGGGAACTCCATTTTTGTCCCCAAAGGATGCTGTGTTTGGAACAACCTGCTTTGTTTTAAGGTGGTAAAACAAATTGCTTGTATTTATTGCTTTATACACACTTTGCAGATTAGTTTTTCTGCACTCCACCTGTTTAATCTGTGCGCGCTCCAGCGGGGTGACAATCATCCTGTTTATGCTTTTTTTTTTTTTGGGAAGACAGTCTGACTTCAGCCTTTCCCACAGCACTTCCCCGCTGTACAAGGAGACAGTATTGCGTTTTGACCGCAGGAGAAACGAGGTCCAGACTCAAAGAGCTTTGCGTCCTCACCTGCACTGACTGTCGCCTCACTGCGTCACCATGTGCCGCGGCGCGCGCTCCTCCCGCTGCAGCCGACAGGACGCGCCGTCACGTAAACATGTAAACAGTTCGGCGTTTATTTTCACACACCTGAACCAGGTCCGGATAAGTTTTTCTTTTACCCTTTACATTTGTGCTCTCAGCCACACTGCTTCCCGCTTCCTCTGTTTTGACTCCAGCCGGTTACATCGTTTCTACCGTACATCGTTTATATCGCACATTCCTTCTTCTAACGTATGTCATAAACGTGGGACATGACGAGCCTTGGGTTTTCTGATGGTACTCCCTATGAACAGTTTAAGAAGCACTGTGTTACCTGGGCAAAGTGAGACGGCGCAGGCCACCAGAGAGTAGCTCGTGTTCAACAGGATGACCTGGTCCTTCTTCAGCTGGAAAGCTGGCTGAAAAGTGGGGAATGGATAAACCACCTGGTACCTGCTGTTGAGCACATATCCATGCTCAAGACACTCACCACTTCCTGAGAGGACAAAAATATCAGTTTGGTTTAAAAAAAAAAAGGAAAGAGAGAGAGAGAGAGGCAGCAGTGACAAAGTGGTTGTGCATGTCTGTTCACCTGTGCGTATGGTTGAGGCTGATGGATTTGGATTGCAGTACGAACAAGGTTTTGGTGGAGGCATGGACGCTATGGTCATGTAGATGTCCCTGTTGTTCTCATCGCTCATCATCAAGTTCATCAATGCAGAACTTGAACTGCGTGTACTAAGAAAAACAAACAAAACCATTTACTAACTATTTATTGAATATTTTCTAAGTGAAACTAGTCTTGCACGATGGAATTAGGCCTTACTTGAAGCCAAAAATGACAATTTTCGATTGATCGTTTGGCCATTCGCACACAGTGAGGTACAAATCGCTGTATATTTCCTCCCCTGCAAACAGCTGCACATGATGGACCTAAAGAGAAAAAGACAAGACATCCATCAAAAAGCTGTACAGTGCAAACACGATCATTAAATCTCAGTATTGAACACATTTCTATTTAATTACCTGTTTGAGTCTACTATGCAGATTAAACTCCCACCAATAGAGATGATAGGTATAGAAAGAGAAATCAAAATCTTCTCCATAGTCTCTAGTGTAAGACAGAACGTAGCGTCCACATTTTGTGAAGCCCAGGAATATGTGTCTGGAATCAAAAAGAAGTACTGCTGTAACACAACGATCAGTGAACAACACTATCAAAATCACAACAACAATGAATCAATCTCATATTTTGAGGCAGAAAAGACAAAATACTAAACACTTAGACCAGGTTACATGTATTCTACAACATGGTCCCATGTTGATTTACAAATACAAAACTAATGAACTTTTTATCATCAACAGTTAGTTTCCAGATATGAAAGTGAATACAACACTTGTTCCAACCTCTTTGATGGAGGATGTTATTTTATTCATTTCATTTTGTATTAAAACATAAATAAGTCAGAGATATTATTTCAACCTTCAGGCATAAAGAAATAGGGTTGGGCATAATCATATCGTGTGCGATTAATCGTCAGAAAAACGTTAATCGATTTTTTTTTTTGGCACTTGACGATTAATAAGATTAATGTCAGTCAGTCCGCTCGGTGCTCTTCTCTGCTTCAAATATGACGAAAAAAAGTTGTATAATTAATTTATCTATCAACACAATTTTAAATTTGATGTATAGCCTGAAGAAGTCCGCAATTTTGACACAATTTGGAACAGATTTTTTATGAAGAATCTTTCCCACTAAATTGGTCATGTGACTAAAGGGTGTCCAGGACTCCAGGGGATTAATCGTCAAATTAATCGTTATCGCCTAAATACCACAATTAATCATGATTAATGTTTTTTGGCAATATTGCCCAACCCTATAAAGAAACAATAAAAAAGAAGAAATTATTGTAGTTAGTCACAACCGCTGAAAATTATGGAATCATGTGAAAAATACTATGTACTGGTACTTTGTGGCACCAGCTCTGGCTTTTATAACAGCGTGTATTCTCTGAGGCATGAACCTAACCTTTCATTAAGTCACCCACATGCCACGATTGCTTTGCTTTATGTCACTGACACCTTGTTTTTCTCTGTTTTGAGTGTTAATGATGGCTTTTGTTCAACTTTTTTGTAGACAATCCCCCTTTCTTTTCATTGGTTTCATACAGACAGACTCCAGATTCCTCTCATTTGTTTGGTTGTGCAAAGACAATCTGCTCTAAGTTTTTGTTTTTTTATCCTGACATTTTGACTCTTTCCTTGGTCTACCGGTATGGTTCACTTTTACAACAAGACTAACTCGTCCATCAGTGGTTCCCAACCCTGGTCCTCAAGTACTCCTATCCAGCATGTTTTACTTGTTTCCCTGCTATTCAGCAGGTCTTCAGAAGATTGTCAATCACTCATTCATTCAAACCAGGTGTGTCAAATCAGGGAAACATCTAAAAATCACTGCTTTAAATGTTGACCAACACCTCAAGAGCTTCTCTGAGCTTGATGAGACACTTTTCAAAATATAATATTAACTTAGTTTTATGTTTTTTAGTATTGCCTCTGGAAGCCATTGATTCTCTGCCATTTATTTGTAAATAATAAACCAGATAACATGTATTAAAGCAGTGACTCTCAACCCTGGTCCTCAAGGACCCCTTTCCAGGACCAGGGTTGGGAACCATTGTCGTAGATGCATTCTGATGCAGGTGTTTGTTCGTGGAATGGCAAAGGGATTTAATTTTCTTCCTCTATGAACTGATATTCATATTGCCAGGGATTGTGCACCCTTGATGTAAGCACTCGATTTACACAGCATCGATCCCATGATTCTGACAGAAATGTACAAAACAAGAATTAAATTACATCAAGCCTGTCCAGTAAAAAAACATACAAACCCTGCTCTGAGGAACTCTGAGCTGACAATGTTCTTCAATGGGACACACACCCGAGGAGGCAGCTTTCTAAACAGACGCTGGGAAAACTGTCCTGACAGCTGCACAACACACACCAGAAGAGAGACATTATTATCATGCAGTGGTAATTTACACACATTAATCAGAGCCAAGTACAGCATTATTACTTAAGTGTTAGGATAGAGTACATGTGTTATGTGTAAAGTGGGTGAATGGTCTATTCATTAGTGCTGCAAACTCAACTGCTGAGCTTTAGCATGCTACCTAATAAACCCTGCATTGTAATTCCGATTAATATTACTAAAACAGTCATTGCTCAGTTTAATCTTAATCTGTGGGTGATAATTAAGAAAACATGACAAAACACAGGAAAACCCGCATATTTCATCGTTTGAAGTATTAGTTAAGCCACCTGAAAAGCCGTGGGATGTTACTTTGTTTAAGCCGATGAGCTAGTTAGCAGCTAGCAAATATAGTTAGCCCCCCGAAGCTCCTCACCCAAAGCTAATAAAACTACGAATCTGAGACTGCATTTCGTGTCACGTTTTGTATATCTATACTCGCCTTTCCACGCATGAGAAGCTTCACAACATGGTCTTTATGCTTTTTGAGCGTTTTCTGCTTATTGTCCTTTTCAGATTTCGAGCTGGGCGCCATCTCTCTCAGTACCGCTGTGCCCTGTGAAGTCCGGCGCATCCTGATTGGCTCTCAGACTGAACCGCGCTGCTCCCATTGGCTAGTACAGATGTCAATCAAACCCAATACAACGGCAGTGCTTTATCTGTCAAGACAGTCATTTCTGCTTAAAGGGAAATTCAGCTAAATTTATTGATGTAAAATCAGGCAGGTCAAACAAGTTGGTACAATATGAATGTTTTTATTGAAGTATTTAAAAACAAATAGTAAAAAATAACATAAAAAAATAAACAAAATTTAACGAAAGAAAGAAAAAAGGGGGCAGTCAATCACACAGATGCAAAAATCCGCACAACCAACCTACTTACAGTAGGACAATAATTAGTGCTTTATTACAGCCACCTTGCACATATTTTTCTGCTTAGTAGCATATACTGAATACAAACACACAAGACCTCCCTTAAGAAAAATAATTACAAAATAAAAAATTGAGAAACTGTCACAGCAGGGATAAGTGCACCTGCAGTTAGTGGGAGAAAAAAAAAGTACCAAGAAAACATTTTTGCAATCATCTTTCATACAACCATAGCTTTTGAATAAATTCAAAATACTGCAAGATACTTATTTTTGCCCTCTCTAAAAACTATAACGAAATACTAAATGTAAGTCAGAATTAAGATGCTGTTCTTGTAGCTTGCAAGCAAATTTGCTCGTTTCACATTTTATTTAGAAAGTACAAAACAAAAACTTTAAAACAATAAAAATTTGATGAATTACACGGTGTGAATGGATGAGGTAAATGGGAAACGGAACATTTACAAGGGGAAGTATTTAGTTCTTTGTTGAATGCACGAGCACACTGTGTTCCCCTTCATTTTCCCTTTAAATGTGATTTAAAATAACTGACGTTTTAAAATAAAATGTCTTGGTGGATGAGTAAATAATAGTCTTGCCTTTTGAAGCCAAGAAAAACAACTAAACAAACGAAAAATAAACAAGCAAACAAACAAACAAAAAAAACCCAAACACATCCTGAGATCCATTACATCCGTCCAACAGATCAAACCGTGTGTTTACTGGGGCTGAAAAGACATCAGACACAATGTGGTTAGTTTCTTTTGCAACATAAATAAAGTTTATTCATATTTTATGGATAGTTTTAAGAAGTACCAACAAGAAACATGAGTGTGAAGATGTCAAATATAGTTTTCCAAATGCATGAAATACAAAATTTAATAAATTTGCCTTTTTTCCCCTCTATTCTGAATAACATTAGACTAGGATTGTAGAGGGTGGAATATTTCTTGTAAATTTCCAGAAACTTTTCATGAAAAGTTAAACTGGAAATGATCCAAATTAGAAAAACTTCTCTCAACTGATCCAAAACACACACTAACAAATCAGCAAAGCTAAAGAGTCACCAATTAAGAGTTTTTTTCCCCCCTTTAAAGCTATTATTTAAACATTTTAATTGAAACCAGGCAGAGTTGTTTGGACATAATTGAAGAAATAGCTCTGTTATCTAGAGCAGTGGTTCCCAAACTTTTTATCTTCTGACCCACAAAATATCCATGGAAAAACTTGTGACCCCAAATATTACTG